ATTACTTTCAGAATGATTGCTTTTTGGTTAATGAACAATATAAACATTTGACAGCCAAATCAAAATCCATCTCACTTTAAAGAACTTGAGTATTTCAGGCGGCAAATGACAAAACTGCAGCATGCTTTTATAATAAACAGAAAGTTGGTTATATCGTACGTTGGTATTAATGCTAATATAGTTATCATTCTTGGTTTGAATGGGCTTTGACTCTAGAACTTATCTTACAAAGGCTCACATAGGTTGATTTTACTTCTGGTTCATTTATCACACTGGAAATGAAATGGCAAACGCATTGCATTATGGCATACAGTTTACAGTGTAGTGTGCTTTGGCTGTATACTGCAAAAGCAAAGTAGGTCATCTGTAAATAGAGAAATCTACGCATATACAGTACTTACTATATAAAGCAGAAATAGCATGTGTTGGTATACGACTATGCTATTACAAACATAACCAGAGTGTTTATTTCATTTCAGTAACCTAAATAAGTTCAACTTCATCACATGAACATTAATGAGCAGTTTACCTGATGGGTGGACAATAAATAATTCAAAGGAAACTGGATGAATGGATGGAAACAGCATCACAGCAGGGAGGGAGACACAGTCGTCACACAGTGTTTACTAGTCATTGGCATTGAGAAGAACTGTCATCGTGGTGAAACCGTATAGCAGGAAACTGAAAATGTGAAGCGCACAGCCACAAACACATGAACAGAAACATACCCACATGATTACTAGAGATGCACCGATTGCAATTTTCTTGGCCGATTTAAATGCAATAGAATAAAGAGCGCTATGAAACTAAGTTTTTCAGGTTAAGTAAGTTTTTATTCAGTTAAGAAATACTACAGTAATTAAAGTAATCACATGTAAAATAACACATCAGTGTTATTTTACATTTGATTACTTTAATTTCTGTAGTCTTCATTTTAAAAATTCAATACAGATTCATGCTTACCATTAAAGTTATAAAACGTATTCAGTCGAGAGCAGAAAGTGATTTTCTTTAGACTGACCGGCCGATCACCGATCCGGGCCGATCATGAGGAAAATTGGCCGATTCCGATCCCTGGCCGATCGATCAGTGCATCTCTAATGGTTACATAAATATCAAGACAAGCAGACCCTCTACAGTGGTGTACTGTGTGACGAAGACACAAAAAATGTTGGGGAGGGACTATAGAGTTGTCCTATACTCTATCTAGATACTATATGGTAGTGATATATTGCAGAAATGACACACTTTAAACCTCAAACTAGTTCAAATTTACAGTGCAAAAGTGGCACAGAAGCCACCTCTGAGCAGCATTAAACAGTCTGTGTCACAGATGCCTAAATGCTGCTTCTGAAGCGCTTCTGTGCAGTGTACATTCAGCACAGAGACTCATCCTCGGGTGTCTCAGGATTCAGTAAGAAGAAAGTCTGTCAAAAACCTCCACAGTTCTCTCTCAAAACCTAGTTAAGCCGGGTTGACAGGCTTTTAACCATTTAATCTACTCCACCCAATCAACCAGGAGGGCTTTGACAGTTCAATCTGGATGTGTTTTAGCTGCTTGAGTCAAACACTCTGACTAAACCAATGTGAAGTTTAATGAAGGCCCACCAACCCGTCCATCAAAATGAATTTTAAAAAATGTCCACAAGTTGACCTCGGCCTAAATGCACTGATGTCAATCAAGAACCGTCAAATCCAGTGTTTCCCCTGCCATTATATTCGGGGGGCGGCCCGCCAGTGTTTCCCCTGCCATTATATTAGGGGGGTGGCCCACCCCCCAACGGCACCCCCCGCCCCACTTGAAGGTCAAGTTAATTTTATTTCATTATATTTTGTCTATAGCGCCAGATCACAACAGAAGTCATTTAAAGTTACCTTTCCGATAGAACGGGTCTATACCTTGTTCTTTTATTAAACAAACTAAATAGCCTTATGTTATTTATCTTATTTACACGACTGCATGTAATTTCGGTCTCTACGTTATGGTCGCCCTCTCTGTATCACGCACAGCGGAGTTCCGCCCCGATGCGCGCACACACACACACGTGCGCGCACTCCCACTCCCACTAGTATCTGTAAATATTAAGCCACAAAACGACTATTTAAATATGAATTCTGCGTGTCTCT